TAAAAAAAAAAAAAAAAAAAAAAGATGATAATTTTTGAATGGCTTCTGTTCTTCTTCTCTTCACCATGTGCCCCCACATTCCCTTGATGGCTCACAGAGAGAAACCAAAGATTTGACATCCCAAAACCAAAACTTGGCCATCCAATATTTCAATTCAAATAGGTACATGAAAGTTTCTCGTGTTCCTCAGCCACTGCTCCACGCGTTCTTCCCATCACCCCATCCTGTTTGCTAACCTTTCATGTCAATCAATAGAGACTCCACAATGTGTGCTGTTTTTTAATCACTTGATGTCGATGTGTTTCTTAAAGTGTCTGAAGATGAGAAACTTGAGTTTCCAAATCTTTTGAAGATGAGATGAAAATAGCTTGGTGAAATAAAGATTGCTTGAGAAAGATGAGATGTTTTTTAAGTCACATCCTACCAAAAATTTATTCAATAAAACTGTCACAATATTAATAATAGTTGAATGTAGATGTGAATAATTTTTATACTTTCAGAAAATGGAAAGGCAAACCCTTGGAAAAGGGGCTAAAAGTCATTTTTTATTTACATACCTCTGTTGAAAGAACAATTTAGCTAAACATTCATTTAGTCAACTAGTGAATATACTTAGTCTGTATGAAAAAGTGAGTAGTTCAAATCTTTTAACGTTGTTTTGTAGTAAAAATTAAAAAAGTAGACGAGGAAAAAACGTGGTAAACTTTATCTTTTCTCCTGTCATTGTTGAAGTAGGTGCAAGAAATGGCTACGTTGCTGTTCTACATTTATTTCTTGATGTCTCTGATGTTGAGAGATGCTCAAACTACAACCATAGAAAATCACCATCCTCGTAATCATGCAATGGTAAATGCAGTTTATACTGATATTTCCTTTCATTCAATTGCTCCACCTTCTTCCGTTTTATAATTATGAATAATCAATCACTTGCTCATCATATATTACTTCATATTTATTTTGTACGAATGTCTGACTTAATTGAACGTTGAGAAACTGAACCTACTTTTTTTTTGTAAGTGTAGATTTTGTTGAGAGGATGAACGGCTCCGAAGTAGAGGGGTTCTGAGTGGATTCATGGAGTTACCGCTTGAATTCATTGAAAGGTAAGAGAGTCATTTGTCTGGTCGTCTGGTCTCGTAGTTCACTCACTCCCGTTATGAAGATAAGATGATGTCTCGGCTCAACTCGAGACAAAGACTCTTTATAACTTGGAGCATGTTGATTTAGTAATTAAGAGACAGCCTACTGCCCCTCGATCGGAGTTCGACGAGAGTAGTCCATAAGTGATCTCACGAACTACATAATCTCATTAGAAGAACTTCACCTTGTATACTACATATTAACTTTAGAGATCATTAAGTCCAGAATCCAATAAAATGGGTTAGGACTTGGTACAAATCTAGTATACCAACTCCAAACTTCATACATTCAATTAAGAAAAAAGTAAGTCAAACATATCTTTTAAGCACACTGATAATGTCAGTGTGTTGCATTGTTTCAGATTCTGGGCGTGTCAGGATTAATCTCAAACTCTGGATTATAGCTCCATTCATACATCATAATGGGAATCACTCAGAAACCTGTTGGTCTCTCCCAGAGGTAACAGAGGTTAGTGGTTTAATTTCTCAAAAAGCTAATGATATTATTAATGCCCTGTATTGGGCCTAATGCAGCCAAATTTATGAGTTATATGCTTCTCAAAAACTCAACATTTTTTTTACCAAACCATTATTCAAATTCCTCCTCCACCTTCATTTGCAGCAGTTTTGAGCCTTCTAGCAATTAAAAATTATTCTTATGGTCCAAAAAATCTAAGCATATTGACAATTTAGTGCATAGTTGGAGGGATTGTGTCATGAAACGTGGAAGCAGCAAATTAGAAATTTACAGAAATAAATAAAAATGGGTTTAGGAACAAATGAACATTAATGAAATTTTAATGTTGGGTTTAGTTGAAAAAAAAAATTAAAGAAAGATTCATCCTCGCATGTGTTGTGTGGAGATTTTGTTTATTTAATAATCAAAATCAACTTAAATTCTGGTTGCCATTTGTCTTGGAATCATATGCTTCAATTCACTTCATTGGGCTCTTTTTTTAATTAAAATGGAAAAGGAAAAGAGGCATTTAATTAATTTTTAAAAAAGAAAGTGGAAAGAATCGCAATGATATTTGGTGGGAAATCAAATCCATTTGAATTAATTAATATATAATTAATTAATGGTGATTTTATGTTGAGAGGATTAATAATTAGGAGGTGGGTGGGTGCATTTTGCTTTGTATCCCACTGGTTGAGTGGACTTAGCTCCCTTTCTTTTTTATCGATTTTATTTCTGCTTTTTCATCTTTGTGGATGCAAATCAGATTATTAGCCCTCTTTCCAAACCACATCAAATCATTATTTTTCTTTTCTTTTCTTTTTAATTGCCTTTTAAATTAATAATCTTTCCCTTAATTAATTGTTTTTGTTCCTTTTACAACACTTTTAATATTATTCTCTTTCTTTTCTCACCCTTAATCTTTAATTTCATTTCGTCCCTCCTATTTTATTTTAATTCTTAAAATTTTAAAAATATTTATTTTAAGTCGTTAATATAAAATGTAAAAGGATCTTTAAGATACCATATTGATTAAAAAAAAGGGAACAAAACATTTCTTCCATTTTCAAAAGGGTGAGGCTAACAATATTTGGTTCGAACATTTAAAAAATTTAAATTTTAAATTTATTCATAAATATAGAATAATTCAGAGAATAAGGGGAAAAAGGGAAATAATGAATTAAAAAAAAGAAGGGATTGTTCCTAAAAATGATTGGGAACCACTTCTTTTTATATTTATTTGACCTTCTTAATATTGTTTTATAGAGATGACAAAAACCCTTGTGGGCCATTCAAATAGGTGCTAAGATTCCTTCTTAAAGTGGGTCCATTTTGGGTAATTTTTTTAATTAAGAATTAAAATTTATATTGAAAATCAGATTATATGAACACCGTTTTGATAATATGACATATATTAACTTATTAAATTATGATAAAATTAATAAAATAATTTAATTTTTGTTCCACTTCTTGGTAAAATGTTTTGTTGTTGAAATAATTATAAAATTTGAATTGAATAAATAGATAAAATTTTTGAAATGTAAGGTGACAAATTTGTAGGGACGTTAAAACAAAAAAAAAGATGAGAGCATTGATTGATTGATAGGAGGGACGTGGACACGGAATTTCCATCAATCACGTGCTGCCCCAATTTCACGTTGAGTGCAAATAATTGAACTCTAAACCCTGCCCGTTGCCCTTTTTTCTCATTTATTATTGATTTTACCTTAAAAACCCCAAAAAGAAAAATAAATAATGGCTTTCAATTTAAAATAACTAAAGAGTTAGTTAAGCTAAATATGTAATTTCGTTCTCATTGTTTGTATAATTTATAAATTACGTGATGTTTTAACTATTTTATAATTTCGATAATACCAATATTGGTTAATTAAATAATGATCACATATTAACAAAATTAATAATTTTTGGATGGAGAATAATGTAATAATAATAATTTATGAAATTTAATGTAATAACCTAACCATGAAAATTAAAACAACGCTTAAATTAGTGAATGAAACAAAAAAATTGATGAAATGAATGTTTGAAAGGCAAGCTAAGAGTTCGCTGTCAATCCGTACGCACGAGTTAATCTCATGCATGGATTAAAAGTGTAATCATTAGAGAGAGAGAGAAAGACAGATCCCAACAGAACGCCACGTCATTTACCCCCAGCCGGTAACCGGTAACCGGTCACTCTCTGGAAACACGATCAAACCGCGAGGTGAGGATCCACACGAACCCCATTTCCCAATATTAACACAAACCCTAATTATTTTCCACTAATTACCCTCACTTTTTTTATTTATTTATATATATTTTTTACCGTCACCCACCGACCCGTTTACCGTCCGTTCCGTTACTGGTGGATCGTGGGTAATTATCTTCTTGAACTCCGTAATACTCTAAGATCCACGGCTGCGATTTCATCTCCTCCAAATTTAAATAAATAAATAAAGAAAGAAAAAGGGATTTATAGAAATAAAAAATAAAAAAAGTTAAAGGTATAAGAAGGGTTTTGCTGCCAATAATGCGACAGCAATAAGTACTCCATGTTACCCCCCCCCCCCCA